ATTTTGAATCAAGCTGAATCTTACATACAATCTGCGAATATCCCTGTACCAGATGTCGGTGAACTGGACAAAGGTGCCCTGACAATGGTGGCGATCGAATCTCATCCCTTCGAAACGAGAGAGGGCGAGAAATGTTTAGATATTATATCTTTTCAACGACGTTTATAACTTTGTCGTGTACTCACAGTAGTCCAATGAACCGTGTCATGTTATACAGCATTCATATACTAGATTCATTCATTCTTTTGTTCGTATGATATTGTATTATAAATACGGGGAATCGGAATGTATGAAATACTCTTACTAAACTGAATTTGTTCATTGTTTTTCATTCCTGGTAGTGGTTTAGTTTGTTATGTCTCGATATATTTACTGCTTGGCCGTCTTGTGAGTCCGCACGGGTAGGTACTACCATCCTGTCTATTTCTCCCGTTAAGCAATAATTCGTTCCTGTTTGAAGGGTGAGGCAGCCGTAGTACTATAGATCTGTGAGTTAGAACTCATATCTACAGCTAGATGGGTGTATTTAAGTTGTCGATGACATACATGTAAATAAAGTTCTCTTGGCCCTTCATTACATTTAACTCATTACATTTTAACTATATGTCGATGGGCTCCGGTAACTACTTAACACCAAGTGGGGTCGTTCAATAGGCCAAAGGACATAAAAAAAAATCAATAAGGAATCATGCGTGCGCTCTGTCAAAGCTAATAAAATTACTTAAATTCCCAAAAATGAACTGTCATAAGGGCGTCTTATTTCCGCATTGCGTGTCGAACGCGTGACAGCTTGTGACGGGAAGCAGAGCAAGGCTTTTGATTGTCATGTTTATGATTAACTTTAATGGGAAATCATATTTGTATACACGAATAACATTCTTCATTGAACTTTGTGTGTTCTAATAATTGGAACGAAGTTCCTTACGGCAGGCTTCGAGGGGATAGGGATGTTGCTGCGCGACCGAACTGAAAAAAATGTGATAGTAAAACCGTAAGAAAAAATCCGTGGAAAAAAGTGCGTGGAAAAAAATCCGTGGAAAAAAGTGCGTGGAATAAAACCGTTAAATGAGACGTGCGCAGGCGCGACAGTCGCATACACAAGCGAGTAGTGTATAATACCTTTCTCTTTCTCCCTCTTTCTTTTCGTTCTCTCATCCCTTCTCACTCTATTTTGTAATTATTTCTATTTCTATGTAATTTTATGTTGTCAAACAAAAAAAAAATAGACATATTTTGTTATTTTAATTGATAATTTGAATTACGATTTTATTTTTATTTTACGTAATTTATTATTTCCTAAAATACTGAATTTCCTAAATACTTTCCTGTACTTAAATAAAAACTAATCAGCAAAATTTAAGAGAAAAATCAAGAAAACCAACATAAAATTGAGTACGACTTTTTTTTGCAAATTGTGTCGATTCTACATTAGCCGAAGAAACTTCGTTCCTACCTGGTGTCCCACGACACCACATTTAATTCAACATTACAAGATCGTGTTGGACTGGTGGTAAAGCGTATTGCAAGCCCAAAGGGATAAGCAATACCGTCCAGCCTAATTCCTTTCATTAAACAAATTTATTGACCACAACAACTAACAGTAATCCATGACGCCAGCTACTAGGCCAATAGCCATAATACTGTAAATACCTTCAGACCACATACCACCGTGCATGACGGCTTCCAAAATTATTTATTTAGTGTCTTCTTTGGATTTCGGTAGTCATGGAATTAACGTAAATACTTCTATGGTTTAATTGTTTGTTACTGTCATTATATTGTTTCCGAAGCTTGGAAGTTATCAATATAGCACGGCGGATTAGTAAGCTGAAGTGGCAAATTGCTCATATTAGCCGGAGAATCGATAACAGTTAGAGTAAACGTGTTCTTGAGTGGAGACCGCGAATTGGCAAACGTTGTGCAGGGCACCCTCAAGCTTAATGGAGTGACAATCTATCTACGCAGGGTAGCTGGTAAAACCTGGATGAGAGAAGCCGAGAGTCATGCTCAATGGTGTGCTATTGGAGAGGCCTTTATCCAGCAGTCTAATGATGATGATGATGAAGTTTGGAATGCTTTACAATTTCCGTGGTCATGAATGACTAACAGCAGCTGTTTTAATTATATCTAATATCAGGTTAGCTGTAAGCTTGTTCAACAAACTATGCAATAAAATGAAAATGTATTATTACCTTGTTATACTACTATGTATGATATAGCTATATTTCATAACTAATGTCTCATTACCTGATTATCACAATGTCTCAATTTGAGTTTCGGGATTCAGTTCTATGGGCTCTACTAAACTACTCATGGTCTTATATTATTGCTTGTCTTATTATAATAATACATTTTCATTAAACTAATATCTCGCAATAATTGCTTTCATCTCTTTATCGTCGATAGTAACTTGAATACAAAGTACCAATTTCTCTTGAATCTCAAGGATTAAATTTAATTATCTTTGACGCCTGCTACAGACCTTCTGTCTAAGCGTTTAATAACGAAACGAATTATAATCTATTTCTAAAACAATACATTTTGGTATAATTTTATTTAGTCATCAATTTTACAAAGTTTTTTTTTATTGCTTGGATGGGTGGACGAGCTCACAGCCCACCTGGTGTTAATGGTTACTGAAACCCATAGACATTTACAACGTAAATGCGCCACCCACCTTGAGATATAAGTTCTAAGATCTCAGTATAGTTACAACGGCTGCCCTACCCTTCAAACTGAAACGCACTTCTCCTTCACGGCAGAAATAGGCAGCGCGGTGGTACCTACCCGCGCGGACTCACAAGAGGTCCTACCACCAGTAATTATTATGTCGTATTGGAATAAGACTTTATAAACACTATTAATTAATGGTACTCACCACAATTTTCACTTTTAATTAGTACCCGATATTTGAAATGTAAAAAACTTGCTAAGAACTTATTAAATAATAGTGCTTCAAATGTAGATAGCGGCGAAAGTTTAAAACAATTTGAATAAAACTGTTTAAGTTTTTATGTGTTGATACAGGACTTGGTAAAAACCTATTTAGTTCAATTCAATCAACAAATACTTGGTTTTATTTCACTTATTGTAAATAAGCAAATGGTATTATACTTTATACGCGAGCACACATAAATCTTTATTCATTTAGCAGGTTGCCCCGCCTGTTTCTAAAGTGATCGTGGTAGAATTCAAGAAGCATGAGAATATTGACTTTAGGGATATCAAAATCTTTTCTGATGACTAAATACTTACTTCGAACTATGGATTCGAATATTCAGCATAAAGCTATGATATTCTATTATAATAAAGATGTTTTTAACGTTCGCCTACAGATAACCAATATTTATCAGTCATCCGTGTTAATGATTACAATACATTGCTATTAATAGATTGTCAAATAGATGTTTTCGACTGTTTGGTAAGGCTCATCCTTATACCTCTTCCTGTGGGTGTTGTAAAAGATAGTCAAGGAATTTGCCTGAGAATGACAAGCATACCTACTGCGATAGTTTACCGGCCATATTTTACTATCATTCTGGCTATTTCAGTGTGATCAAGATTTTTGTCTAAAACACTCTGCTAAGGAAAACGAGAAATACAGCCTTGTTTCATTATATCTGATCCAAAAGTGTGGCTACAACCTCTCATTAATGGCAGCTTGTTAACATTACATAATATTCCAGACATTGCAATTTTCTAAATTAAATACACCCCTCACTCGTTTGCCCAAGGATGTAATGCCTCGAATAAACCTTGTTCAGAAAAGGCCTGATTGTATGAAGCTTGTATTTTATTCGCTAACAACGAGAAGTCATTCGGAGCTGCTGAAACTGTGTGTGTATTACGGAGCGAAGGTAGTTATTTAATTATGTGGTTCGGTGTTGTCAGGTACATACTATTGAATGTAGCCGGGATCCTACTACGATTTACTATTTTCGTTTTAGAGCTAAGATCTAAATTAAATACCTTTAATCGGAATTCATTTAATAACAATAATAATAATAATAAATATTTACTAACAATCACGCTACGTTAACTGGTCCCGTGATAAGTTCGTAAAGAACTTGTGTTACAGGTACCAGATAACGGAAATAAATGTAATGTTTTTATTATACACATACACATATTTAATATACATCCATAATCCTGGAAAAGACATTTTATATTTTTCATAAAAATATCTTCCCTTTGGCGGGATTCGAACCCGAAACCCCCTTGTGCAGTGACCATGTCACTGACCACTACACCAGACGGCCGTTTCAACAATGATTTATGAACAACAAGATCCTTGAGATATTCAAGTTTGATGTAACAAATTTTTATTTGTTGTTAGCTGTTGCAATGCAGCTAGAGAAAACTTGGAAGAAACATGAGTCGACTATTATCAAAGCCGGCAATCTGACTTTTGGACAATGATTGGTAAATCAGAAAAACGAATTATTGACTTTGTATTCCATTAGCAGTCACAAAACTCTTCGGAACGACATCTTAGATAAATAACAAGTTAACTATTAACCTTTATTTAATGCAGGTTTTGAACCGTATTCTTTGAAGGAGACGATTATATTCAAATCAATCTGTATTGACATATCAATAATTTTTTTTTGTCCAAATGCACAGATTGCCACCTTTGATAATAGACGACTCACATCTTCGAATACACCAGTTACAAGGCATAACAAAAACCGTACATTTATATGAATACTAAATGACAAAAGGTATTAGAATTTGACAATACGTTCCGAAGAAATGTAATGCCTATGTTTCCCTCAGATCCGTAATGTTAATGCAGAGAACGTTTAAATGTTTAGAGATTACGTAACAAATTGTCCTTGCGAAGACACAAACATCTCATCGGAAACAAAAATAGCTTGTCAATACAAAAAAGAAACCGATATTAAAATGCCATAAACCGATAGTAGTGGCTCTGCGCACTTTGGGCGGGCGAGAACCAGCTCCGAGATACGCCGATGTTTCAGAGCCAGTCGTCCGAACGCCACCGTTGTTGTCGCCAGCGTATGGCGTACTCCTCGCCAAGCTACACATTTTACGCGCGTAAATTTAGAACGCAAAAATAAACTCGGGAGAATAAGTGAAACTCTGAAACTTTGTTTAGTGAGAGATTTATATAAATTAAGCCTGTTTGTGGTAAATTGTTGCGGTGCCACTTTGTATTCTGTGCCGTGCGGAAATTTTATGTTTTCGCGCGATTTTAATTAGGAGAGATGTAATGATTTTCTTCGTGAATCCGTTTGCGGGGTTTTGGTTATTCGAAGGAAATAAAACATTGGGTACGTAGTTATATTGGCTTGATTCTTTTTTTTTATAAAAATGGAGATATTAGTGAATATCTTTTTGAAATAATTGTATATATTATTTGAACGCGAAATACTAGGCAGAAAGATAAATGTGAATTTGGCCAAGTTCTTTTAAAGAGTGAAGTTTCACGATTAAAAATGTTAACGTATCTATATTATTTGAAATTTGATTTTCAATTTTATTTCTTGAATGTCATTCTCTAATTAAATTAGTAACATTTACAAACCTTTTGATACAAATAATAAGCCTATTTTAGGATGTCACAAAAAAAAAGATCTGGCACTGGGATACTGCAAAATATTTGTTAGGCGTTTACTTAATACTGATTTGAATCCCAATTCGATTGATGAGACATCCACTAATTCGCAAGAAATCCTAGCCCCATTTATCTTTGGTTAATTTATTTAAGGGATATATCCACAGCGCTTAACGCTTATAAATGATTCCTAAAGTTAATAAATAGACTTTTTTGATCTTCCTATATTTAATACATATATTGATACGTTGTTGTTGATCTATAAATTAAATATTGAAATAAAAATTTCGGTCTCATTTCCATAAATAGGTGGTTTACTGGTGGTAGGACCACTTGTGAGTCCGCGCGGGTAGGTACCACCTCCCTGCCTATTTTTGCCGTGAAGCAGTAATGCGTTTCGGTTTGAAGGGTGGGGTAGCCGTTGTAACTATACTGAGACCTTAGAACTTATATCTCAAGGTGGGTGGCGCATTTACATTGTAGATGTCTATGGGCTCCAGTAACCACTGAACACCAGGTGGGCTGTGAGCCCGTCCATCCATCTAAGCATTAAAAAATAAAAAAAGGTGATGGTAATCGCGTTTTGATGTTAAGAATTGCGCACCGTTAATCGCTTAGCTTATAGAAGATAATTTTAACCTAACTTCTAACTCGACTAGATTCTAGATCTATAGTCAATTTAAAGAAACATAAGTTATTGTTTTCGATGACAGAAACGATATTTAAAAAAAAATATTTTCAAAGAGGTTTAATTCTAAAAGAAGAGGTTACGATCGGCCGTTACATTCGTGACGACTGTTTCTTTAGACCATGATAATTGATTATACATGTAACTCTACGTCTCATAACACGGTATTTTACAAACAGTTCCACTCTAACACGAAAAGGAAAATTCTCCAATACTATATTATAAATAACACGGCACTTCTACAACACAATTACGAGTATTTAGTTTAAATATGTTTAGAAAATTACATTACGCACTATGAACACAAAATATATGGGAATAACCGAAATTTTACTGCTTATTCTTTATGTATAATAAGTAAAAAAATACTACAGGCACAATAGAGATGATTCATTTAAAATTTTGCTCTCCTTTTTGTACTGGCTTCGAATCTCATATAACACGGTTTCGCACAACACGGGACTTTTTAGGAATGTATCTAACGCGTTATAGAAGGGTTGCCTGTACTGTACGGTAAAAAAATATATTCCTGATTTCTATTTATTGATGCTAGTTGTCGTCCAAATTTCCATCATTGGACGACAACTCGATTTAGTTTCAAAGTTGACAGCATTAAAACTCGACAATAGTTACCGAACAAAAACAATAAAAATCTATTGACCAACCGTGGAGAAAATGGTACTTGTTCGATTTTCCTTGTAATAAATAACTGTCCAAATAAATCTAAATGGAAACACTAAAACTTCTCAATAAAAAAAAAGAGTTATCGAACGAATTAAATCGGTTGACGAGCAAACAAGAAAATGGTACATACATAACTATTTTGACTTTGCCTATACGCATTTAGATGCTTTTATTAAAAGGATGATCTAGAAAAGAGTTTTAAAATAAAAACAGTTTTAAAGATGTATAATCTGTGGATGATATAGTTTTTGTTATCATACTTTCCATGTTTTTTTGCTACTTTGTTGTATTTTAATTTGGGAGCTTACTTACTTCCTTTTTATATATGTTTGAAAAGTCATATTGCAAGGAATAAGNATAAAATCCTTTTGTTTAAACTTTATCTAATTTAACTTTATTTAACCAATTTCTAGAAAGTTGCATGTAGATCATTTTTCGAAAAATAAGGCCATAAACAAGTTTCACTTCTTACGTGTGTACACTAGTACACGCACACATTTTTATTGATTTCTTCACTATTTAATGGATGTTATTATACATACCATGTTATTATGTTACCTTTTTCTTCAATCACTCTATCTATTAAAAAAAACCGCATCAAAATCCGTTGCGTAGTTTTAAAGATTTAAGCATACATAGGGACAGACAGATATAGGGATAGAGAAAGCGACTTTGTTTTATACTATGTAGTGATGAATTCTACGATCACGTTCTGATCTTCGACAGGGTGTGCCCAGACACTTTAATGTTCTTTATTATTTGTACCGATGTTCTATATAGAGTACTTAGAGGAGTTGTATGCAACAATTACTCGTTTGTCCATTACTTTATTTGAAACCCTTGCGTCCCAGCTAGGGCGCGCTTTCATAGTAATATTTTTTGAGATTTTATTGTCCACCAACTGGTGGTAGGGCCTCTTGTGAGTCCGCACGGGTAGGTACCACCACTCCGCCTATTTCCGCCGTGAAGCAGTAATGCGTTTCGGTTCGAAGGGTGGGGTAGCCGTTGTAACTATACTGAGACCTTAGAACTTATATCTCGAGGTGGGTGGCGCATTTACGTTGTAGATGTCTATGGGCTCCAGTAACCACTTAACACCAGGTGGGCTGTGANGGTAGGTACCACCACCCCGCCTATTTCCGCCGTGAAGCAGTAATGCGTTTCGGTTCGAAGGGTGGGGTAGCCGTTGTAACTATACTGAGACCTTAGAACTTATATCTCGAGGTGGGTGGCGCATTTACGTTGTAGATGTCTATGGGCTCCAGTAACCACTTAACACCAGGTGGGCTGTGAGCTCGTCCATCCATCTAAGCAATAAAATAAATAAAAACCAAGCTCCGTCAGGGCGACTGCGTTCTCCTCTGTATTTGTTGGCAATAAAGTATCCAGATTTAAAGAGCGTGGTGTCGATTAAAAAATGGAAAGGGTTATAAGCGATTCCTAAGAATGTTAAACTAGTTTTATTATACAACAAACTAATTAAGATTTTAAAGATTCATGTTTCGAAATTAAAATCGAGTCATTAATATACACCTGAAGGCTCTGCACGCTTTAGTTTGTGTAAATATAATAATCTGAGTTTTAGTTAATTCTCGCAAATCTTATTTGTATTTTCCAAACAAAAATCAATTATCCATGTCTATTATGATTTATTAATAATACAATTAAATGTCAAATCCTTAGGTTCCAAAATCTAATACATATATTGATACGTTGTTGTTTTAATGGTTCATTTCATTATTACATATAAATTATATATTGAAATTGAGATTTCGATCTCCTCTCCTATATTAACAATGTTTCTTTAATCCAATAAACTATAATCTGATTCCTTAAATTATTTTATTTCCAAATTCATCAGCTTTTCAATAACAAAGATTAATTGAGCAGTTTATCAAGATAGTATTCCAGTGTGAGAATGTCCCTTAGTAGGTATATTGGACTTCTTTGGGTAATACTGAAATATGAATTACTATGTTAAAATATAATTTCTTAAATATACTTTTTTTAAAGAACTTTTCTAATATTATTTTTGTTGTATGTCCGAAAAATACCTTTGAGCGTGATAAGACTTCCTTTCCAATTCTTGTATGCCGTTTTTGAACATGGGGTCAAAGCATTAATTAGATTTTACTGCTCGTAGGGCGTATTGTAAGACCGCATGGGAAGGTGTCACCTACCTGACTATTTTTGCAGCTAAGTCCTTATGCACTTGCTGGAAGTCTGAGAGAGGTATAATATTGAGACTTTAACTTGATGTCTCGGGATGGACGGAGGCATTCACATTGTCAATGTCATGTCAATGGGCTCCGTCAAACATCGGTGGAGAAGTGAGCGCCTTGTTCCATATATACAATTAAAATATTAAAAAACAGTACCCATCCAATAGCTCCGGCTAGGTTTCTATACTGTGGTATAATGGCTGGTAGGGTTTTCCTGACGTGGTTATGTATATGAGACAAGAACAAGAAAGTATAATTAGATCGCAAATATCAGATATTTTTAACAAAGATAGTCTTTCCGACCCGATTTGTCGTATTGAAATAAGAAGTCAAATTTCTTTATATCAACCTTCGACAAGTGAAAACAGGCGGGATAAATTAGCTTTAGAAAAAGAAAAAAATATGAACTTGGACACATTCTGTACACATAAATATTATCCATTTCGAAAACGACATTTAAAGCTTCCTTTTTAACAAAACAAAAAATTACCTTTCACTCTGCGAATATCTCCGTTAATTTACAATCCCCGAGGTATAAAATAAAGGGGATGATTTTTTGTGAAATTCCCGAGTAATAAAAGAGGGTAATCGCGGCCATGCCACTTTTGTATTGGCCATCTTAATGCTGAGCCGCTATGAATGAGTCTTCTAGAGAGCTGTAGATTTAATTTAAGTTGTTCACTTGTTTACATTTCCTTGTCTTGGGTCTTGTACGCCTTTCATTTGTTTAAACAATGTTCGAGCTCTGAACAGATGTCCTTTTATTATATAAAGGACTTCTTTAGGGATAAACCTTTATTATTAATTTATCTGTATTAAATATTTGTATGTTTCTTACACAATAACATATATCTGAACTTAATTTGATGAGCTTTAGAAAATATATTAAGGCTACACTTAACACAAACTTAAAGCTACACTTAAAATATGGTATATTTTTTATCTCCGTAAATGCCATGGGATATTAGCAATGTCGGGTATAGTATTGATGCCATGGGATATTAGCAATGTCGGGTATAGTATTGCTTTAGTGTACAACTGTGTGTTCGCTGATTCGTAATTTTAATGGTTTTAATTCTAGGTTGCAGTTAATATTTTTAAGGAAAAAATTATAATTATCGT